CCTTTCCAACTGAGGCACAAGGAGTCATCCTATCCTATGTATTTACGGAGACGGATGCAAGGAGACCCCAACCACCAAAGGAGCTGGTGTCCAGTGGTCCCCAGGGCTATTCAGAGCACATCCTAACCTTGGTCCAGAATGAGGGGCCAGAACTGCCTTACAGACCTCAGACAAGCCACACCCCCTCTCTGATACTTCCTACCATGCCATAAAATGGGACTCAGAAGTTGCCTGAACACCCCCAAATAATTCAAGGGAGTCAGGGGTTCTTACATAGAAGACTGGTTCCATTCCACATCAGGAGGTCTGTAGGAGAAGGGAATCCTCTTATTCTTTGTGGCACTCCACCTATGACTTCCCTTACCAACAGAATATGGACTCCAGCCAAGTTTATAAAGTGTGAAAATGTTCCTGTATTCCCTCCATTCATGATCTGTCCTTTTGGGTTACCCAGTGATGTCTCCCATGCAAAATACAGATCTTACTCTAGAATTTCATGTCCCTAGCACTTTGGACACCTGCAAAGTTACAGAGTACTACTTAGAAGAGGAAGTATCAAAGGAAACTTGAAAAAAGGAGGGACGAAGTTGAGATGAACATCACTTTTATCATTATCATAGAGAATGTTTGTCCATTATATGCAATGTGCCAGGCACTATACATTCGTTATCTTGTTTGATGCCCATAAAGACCACATTTTACAGATGTGGAAATTGAAGTTTGGAGAAGTCATTCAGCATCACACAGTGAACAGGAGATTGGGGCAGGATTCCAATCCAGCCTGAGTAGAGCAACAGAGCCTATGCTACCCGATTCCACTCCAACGAAGTTTCTTGCAGGAAACTCAGAAAGAAACTCATTCATCCTCTCTGCCTTTTCAGGTAGGGGAAGAAACACCCAGAAAAGGAAAAAGAACTTTTCCCAGCCTTGCTGTGCCTCAGTGTCAGAGCCCAGGCCAAGGTTCTTTTGTGTGTTATGCATGTGTTCTCCACCTCCAGCTGCAGAGAAAAGCAAAGAGATGGAGAAGCCAGGGGAGAAGGATTGATGGGGTCTGGGGAGGCAGAAAAACAGATGACTGCCACAAGGGGAGTGGCTGCCTTCTCATCACACCAACTTCATTCAATGACCATATTCCCCTCCCCCAGATCATTTCCAGACCTACAGTCGGCCTTTCCCACCCACTCCTTCCTTAGCCTGGATCTCCTGGAAAAGCCTAACTTACCACAGCCCCTAGACTGTTATGCAACTTTAAAAAGGCCTACCATTGGGGGTTGGGGAGGAGAAGCTTGGAGACTCGAGGGAGCCATCTCATCAACCAGCTCTGATGTTTCTGAGCAGGGATGACTAAGAGGAGGAGAGCGTGCGGCTGAGAACACATCACCCCTGCCTGTCCGCCTGCCCAAACTCTTCCCAGGCTCCCCACTACTGGAGGCCAGACTCCTCCCCACCACAGCCTCCCCAGGCCTGCCTGGCCCAGCCCTGCCACTTTTTCCTCAGTGCTGCCCATGGAGCTGCCCCCGAGTCTCAGCCCCTGCCACACACGGGTTCTCACTCAGTTTCTCAGGCAAATGGGCCAGTTCATTCTTCAGGCCTTTGCAGGAGTTGGGTCTTCAGTGTTGCATGTGCTCAGGCTCCTCGCCTTCCCCCAAACACAGTCCTCCACATTCACCTTATGCATCCAAGCCATCTTAGATGTCACTTCCTCAGGGAAGCCTTCCCTAACTCCACAAGATCTCCTACCACACTCTTTCAACCCACTGGCCTGGACTTCCCTTGGTACTTTGCAGTCCATCTTTACTTGTATCATTGTTTCATTAACACCCGTCTCGTCCGTGTGAGGATAAAGACCAAGTCTACACATTACACTCTACTTCTCAGGGCATGACACAGTACTTGGCATATAGTAAGTCCTCAAAAATGGTGAATGAATGAATGAATGAATGACTAGTGCTTCAAGGGTCCCAGATCTCCTATAAGGAGAACAGTGACATCTAGTGACTGCTTTCACACTCTTGGGCTTCTCTGATAACATCCCACCAGTTGGCCTCGAAAACATCTCGCTGGATTTCCGAAGAACTGCATATTTCACTGATGCCAAGGGAAGCTGGCATAGAATCCAGACATGGGGGAATCTGATTCCTAAGCAAGGAGGAAAGGAACCACCAAGCCTCTGGCTATTGCATGTGCCAAGAACACATCACAAAAGTCCTGGGACTTCGCTAAGATGGTGCCACATCACAGATGAGGAGAGTCTGGCCCAGAAAGGCAGTCACTGGGCCAAGTTTACAGAGCAGTAAATGGGGATTCTCACAGCCTCACCCACCAAGTCCTGGAGAGCAGCTAACCATGATGCTTCACTCATCCACACTGACATAACACTGGTTGGACCATCTTTGGTATTCGGCGGAAGCTACCACAGCCTCCTGAGAGGTCTCCCCCTTTGCACCCTTGCATTTTCACACTCATCTCTCACCCTGAAGCTGGAGGGGTGGAGATATATACATATTTGGCTTTTTTGTTATAGTTATTGTGGAGACCTTTCATGCACAGAATTAGATTATCCACGATGCTTACTTCATGATTCAAGCTCATTATTGCACCATGCATGGTTAGGCTTTATGTATTCATCCAGTTAGTGTTCATTAATTAGCTAGTTTTAATGCTTTAATAAACTCCCACAAATCCACCACCCAAAATGCCAGCTAGGAACTTGATTCCTCCATGTAATGAGGGCTCCCTCAAGCCATTGCCCCGCCTCCCTGACTCAAGACTACCATCATCCTGAGTCCTACGTTCACCATTTCCTTGGTTCCCTTTTAAAATAGTTTATAACACCTGTATTCATTCCAAAAATGTAGTGTATTTGGCGTGTGTGTATCTGTTTTAACTTAAAACAGGGGAGGGGTGCCTGGGTGGCTCAGTCGGTTGAGCATCCAACTTTGGCTCAGGTCATGATCTCACAGTTCATGGGTTTGAGGCCTGCATCGGGCTCTGTGCTGACAGCTCAGAGCCTGGAGCCTGCTTAGGATTCTGTGTCGTTCTCTTTCTCTGCTCCCCCACCCCACCCTCAAAAATAAATAAACATTAAAACATTTTTTTAAAAACAGGAGAAAGGGTATCATGCTATATAAAATATACTTTTGGGGGGGTGCCTGGGTGGCTCAGTTGGTTAAGCGTCCATCTTCGGCTCAGGTCATGATCTCACACTTTGTGAGTTTGAGCCCCGCGTCAGGCTCTGTGCTGACAGCTCAGATTCTGTGTCTCCCTGCTTCAGATTCTGTGTCTCCCTCTCTCTCTGCCCCTCCCCGCTCATGCTCTGTCTCTCTCACTCTCAAAAATGAATAAATGTTAAAAAAAATTTTAATTGTACCTTTGGGACTTCTATTCTTCATTTAATATTATGTTTGTTCATCTCATATCAAGTGTCAGTATAATCCATTTGTTTTGTCTGCTGTAGAGCATTCCACTGTATGCACATTCCATTATACACTTATTCAACTGCTCTCCCACTGAGGGGTCTTCTGTGTCATTTCCAGAGGGCTTCTTCTGGTGCACAAATCTAACCTATCTAATCCTTCCTGCATATCCTAAGCATCTCACTGCCCTCCAGACAGATCCAAATTCTATGAGCTAGTTTTCTATAACCTGTATGATCAGGCTCCTTCTGACCTCTCTAGCCTCATTGTGCTTTCCTTTTATCTCTTGATCTTAGTCACGGGGGATGTCTTCCAGTCTTCGTATGGATCATGTTCTTTTCTGCATCTGGTCATCTACCTAATGCTTTCCCCACCTCCTTACTCTGATCCCCTCTCTATCCTCTATGAAGCCCTACCTGACCATGCACCACCCTCTAGCACTCAGTCCAATAGAATGCTATGGTGGGAACGCACAATCCATAGTATCCTATTGGTGCTGGTCAGGGATCTACCAGAGGATCTTCTCTGGAGGTGCAGGGCCAGCTATCTGGGAGTTGCTGCAGAGGGAAGCATGGGGACCAAGTAGAGATGCTTTAACCACTTTCCTCTTCCTAAGTGAAGGCATGGCATCACTATTCCTGGTTTTTAGGAATTGGGTTCCTGAAAGATTGCATTTAGAGAAACTGTTCATTAATATACTTTTGCAAACCAGTGAACCATTTATATGGTCTCTTCAAGCCCAGGCATACTGTAATGGAAAATGAGAGATGCAGAAAGAGGAAAAAGAGGAGATAGAACTTCACGACTAAGTACATGGGCTCTGAAACAGACTAACTTTGAGCAAATCACTAAACATCTTCGAGGTTTCCTTACTTGTAAAGTGGGCATGACATTAGGATGAACCACATGGAATTACCATTTTTATAAATTAAAAAATGATCCACAGTTGGTAATTTCATATGAATCACACCAATACTTATATGTATTTCATAGATCTGGAGGGAAGATTAAATGAGATAATCCAAGTATAGCACTGAGGCAGAGACTGTCAGGTTTTCAACAAACCCATATATCTTCTTCTCCTTGGCAAACAGATAGAATATATTTCCCTGTTTTTGTTTGCACACAGGTGTGTCCAATGGCTGAGTTCTAGCCAAGGGAGTGGAACTGAAATGATATTTGTTACTTTCAGGCTTGGCCCATTTCAACTTCTCATGTATGATCCTCCATGTTCTTTCTTCTTCCACAACAACTGTGGAAGCATCAGGTTGATGCAGCACAAGACAGAACAAGGTGGGTCTCTGAACCATTTCTCAGAGTAAAGCCACTCATCATCAGAAACATTTATCTGGGACTCTGCACAAACAAGTGATAACTTCTATTGTCTTTAGCCATTGAGATTTGAGGATTTGTTGGTAATAGCAGCTATATATGTACTTAAACCATGGTAAGGAATCAATAAATGCCAGTCATCACCATGGTGATGATGATAAGACAATCCCAGTGGACAAAGGGCCTACAAGGGCAGGAGGCAGGAAGATTGATATTTAAATGTGACGCAGTGGCTGTGTCAGGGGAGCTCACCTCCTTGGTACCATTGTCTTGGATGAGGGTATACAGTGGTACCACACGGTTGATTTCCAGCAGCACTGGCGTGGGGCTCAGCTGCTCCTTGCCCGGCCGGCGGCAAAGGTGGCAGGTAGAGGGACAGCGGCCTTTCTCCTCACAGCGGATCTCCACACCTGAGATGAGCTGGTCATCTGACAGCATTTGCGCTGTCAGCAGACCTGAGAGGTAAGTGATGAAGGGCATGGACTTGAGTTCCTTCTTGCTGCCCAGCTCTGTGGTCTCTGGAGAGGAAAGAGAAATTCAATATTGTTCAAAAGGTCAGACTCTTGAACCCATAGGGTCCAATGTGCTAAGGAGGAGGTATCCACTGGAAAGGAAAAAAAAAGATGGTAGAATGGTTTGCTCATGATGCCTTGGAAAGCACACCTGCTTGAGGACTCAAGGTGTCAGAATGGTATCTTGTTTTATAATTCACGTTAAATAGCTCCTTACTTTCTCTGGGCCTCACTTTCTCCATATTGGAAGTTGGTTGCTTAGACAAGAGGATTCTCCAAGGGCCCTGTAAGATGTAAATATCCAAAGAAATTTTTCCCAACAGGAAATTCCTGTCTACTGTCAATTTACATAAATTTTACCTTTCTTTTGAGAACTTGCTCCAGTCCTGTATTTTCCATGAAGTTTCAGGTAATGGCGGAAACATAAGCTGGAGTCCAATCAATTTCCATTTAAATCCCTATTCTGTTTGAAAATAGCAAGGGGTCTTGGGAAGGTCTCTTAATACCTAAGCGCCTTTGGAGATTAATTCTGTAAAATGGGGTTATAACGTTAACTGAAACAGTGATGAGTGGTAAATGAGATAGAAGGAGGTGGACCTGCCTGAAAAAGAAATGATTTCCCCTTTCTTTCTGTGCTCCTATGGTCCCTTGTTCAAATTTCTTTTCCTATCTTCTTCATGCGCACGCTGAGATCTAATTACATATGCTCCATTCTGGGCTGTCTCTCTTGATCTGTGCAGTTAGCATTTCCCACCTCTGTGCTTCTGCCCACTTTCTCTGCTGCCTCTCCAAACATTTACCACCCATCCATGCTCCATTTCAATATCCCCTTTTCAGGAAATCTTTTCTCCTTGCTCTAGCCCTTCTTCTCCGAAGAAGCATTTCTGTTGATAAGCCTTTTTCTTGTTAAGCTCATTTTCTCATCTCATTTTCTGCTGACCTCGCCAACCATATTATCGGCTCTTCGAGACGGGACCATGTCTCCCACTCCTGCCTCCCGCACCCTGTCCACTTCAGTGTCCAGCACGGCACTAGGGATATACTTAAGACTTCATCAAAGAGGAAAATTATGGAATCTGAATGGCTAGAATGACATTCATGATCTAGTCGGGAGGCTCCAAAATCCTTCAGAGGAATTCTTATGGATCCCAAGAAGCATCTCAACAGATGCTTGCAAAGGACAAAAGGGAAACTGGGCAGGTGGCACTCTAAACCCCACCTCTCGGCTTCCATTAGAGCAGTGCCACTTGTATCTCTCCTATAGACTGGCCTTCTACATAAGGCTTCATAAGAAGAGAGTGGTCTACAGCCATGCCAAAAAGCTTGAAAAAGCAAAGTAATTGGTACAACCCAGGGAGTTCCATTTACATCAGAGACTTTGTGAATGGTGTTCTCAAACTTACAAGATGCATAATCTGAGTGGCAAAACAGGATAGCCCTGTAAGTAATAAGGGACAGGGCTTGGTCCAGACGGCAGTTTCTTCTAAGCCTGGTGAAGTGAAGGCAGGCTCCTGCCTCAGTGGAAACAGGGGCCCTGGGCACCAAGGCCTGAGAGAAAAAGTAGGGTTGTCTCCTGCTCTTGCTCTTGGCCTGCAGTGACATGCAGCGGCGATCTGGAAATGGGCTTGTGAATGAGAAATCAAAATAAATGCGGCCTTCATTCATTACTCTCTGGGCCCTCGGGCCTGGGATCTGGGCTCCACCTTTTGTGTCTGGCTGTCAGCAAATGCTTATGAGCATCAGATCAAAGACTCTGAGGGAGGAAGACAAGGCAAATTCCAGCTAACCAATCCTTCAGAGGGATTAAAGAAGGGTAGTTACTAAGATAAACAAAACAAAGCTGTGAAGAAGGCATCTCAGCAGCTGGGCAGACAGAGACAGTCTTAAGTACAGACAAGTCGAAAGAAGATGATGATGATGATGACTTCTGGAAGTGGAGGCCAGAAGGAATAGTTTTGGAGAAGGGTAACTTCAAACTTTGGAGAGAATAACCACTGAGGGGAGAAGGTCAGAGAGCAGTCAGAGCTGTGAGGATGAGGACACTAGCGAGACAGTTAGCCCACACTCTGATCCAGAGGTCAGCAAACTATGGTCCATGGGTCAAATCCACACCTCAGCCTTTTTTTTTTCTTTTTTGTAAATAAAGTTTTATTGGAACACAGGCACCCTCATTCATTTATATATTGTGTATGGCTACAGTGGCACAATTGAGTAGGTGCAACCAGGACACTATGCCCCACGAATTCTGAAATATTTACTATCTGATCCTTTACAGATTAAGTTTGGGAACCTCTGCTCCAGTCCTAGGTTATAGATGGGGAAACCGAGTCTCAGAAAGAGAATCTACCTTTGGTCACACAAGAATGTGGCAGTATAATGGTAACATTGGAATCGATTAGGCCATCAATACACTTACATTGTGAATCTCCAATGAGAAAAAAATAGTGAGGCACCTTTTCTCCATAAAACATCTTCCAAAAAACTATTGAAAAAACATACATTTGAAAATGGTAATCTGGTATAACCCTCCCATTTTAAACAAGGGGAAACTGTGTCCCAAAGAAAGACTCTCCAAGGTCACACTCTGAGTTTGGGTTCCTTTCGGTACATGATTCCAGTCTCTTCTGTTAACCAGTTCATCACTTAAACTACTAATTTTATCTTGTGTTTTAAACCATAGATGGCCCACCCCTCATAGCACCTTGCCACATGCACATAATTTAACTGGGAAGGAAATAAGGTGTTGGAAGTAAAAATTCCCTTGATCAAACATTCATAGCCACTGGGTTAAAGATATAACTATCCATTTAACAACAAAACAAGCTATAGATCTTTGCTGGTCTGTTTTTTCCAATAAATCTCTTTCATCTTTTTTTTTTTTTTTTTCAATCTATCAATCCTACAGGTGGGGTTAAAAGCCCACAGTCTAGACTAACAGTTGCACTACAGTAGCAATATAGAATTCCTAGTTGAACACAGAAGCTGGTTTTGCAAAAGGAGGGTCCTTGAGTATCACCTGGTCCAACCCCAATGCTCAACAAATGAAGAACTTGAGACCTAAACAGAGAAAGAGATTTACCTCTATATTCCATGCACATTTATTAACAATGATCCTTTTTGTAAAGATCGCTTCATGCCTAAGTTATGATCTGGATGAAAGTTACAACAGGGAAGGCCATTAACCATTCCATTAATTATTCCTCTGTAGACATGGCAATTGTGAAATCTAATTATTTCTGATCCAACCTCACTCTGTGGCTAAAGTCATCTTTAGTTCAAGTGCCAGTTTTTCAGAAAGGCCTTCCCTGAACTCCATCCCCATGCCACCAATCTACATAGGGTTTCCTATTAAAGATTCTTGTAGCATCCTGTTCTATCCATCACCTCTTAATGCGTCCAGACTATAAACTCCATGAGGACAAAGACCGTATTAGTTTTGCTGATTCCCATACCCACTTCACACAGAACGTGAAACACTTCAGGTTTTCAGTAATATTTTCAATAAATATTTGTTGAATATGTATTTATAGACCCTGATCACTATCACTGTACTATCTTATCAAAGCACTGATAAGTCGAAGAACAAAGATCTGTGCATGTCATGACTAACAGTTAATTGATGGCTTGTAATCAAGTGGCAACCTCTTCCCAAAGCAAAATTAGCTTTCTCAGTTGGAAGGTTTATGGATGAATAGCTGATCAATTTGCCAGTTGCTCTGACCTCCCCTGGGTTTTCACATAGGCCCTTGCCATTGAGGGGATGGGAGAGTTCACTTAAAACAGCCTGTCTCTAACAGGCAAGGATCAAGAGCATTTTTGAAGAGACTTATCCTCTGTTCACATTTCCCATCCCTCTGAACAATGCTTCCAAAATAGGATCATGTCTGGTTTCAAGCCCAATTCAGTTCCAATGACACTACAACCCATTCATTTGAGAACCTGCCAACTGAACTCTCTTTTTTCTCCTCCCAAATTCCTGCTGGGTCTAATTTTGTTGCCACCAAAAAAAAAAAAAAAAAAAAAAAAAAAAAAAAAAGCAGCAGCCTCAGTTGAAGTGACAAGTCCTTGTTGGGAGGACAGCCAGGGCTTTCCGGCAGGAGGCGATGGCACTGCTTGCCCTCATCCAGAAAACAAAACAAAGGCAGCAGACGAAGGGCTCCGGGGAGAGCCAAAGCCGTGCGAATGTTTGTTCAATATTCGGCCACAGCGCAGGGCGCTGCCTCCCAAGTCAGACAGGCTTGCTTTGGCAATAGGCTTGCACTTGAAGCATTTAAAGGCTCCACAGGGACCAGAGGGGCTCAAATTAGAAACGTTAAGGGTGGGGGGAAGAGGGTGAGACTTTTATATCATAAAGAATGGCCTTTATTACAGCAATGGCCTCCCAGGAATTGTTGAAATGGGATCATTTCTTAGGCGGAGTTACTGTCTCCTGTTGGAGGAAAGCAATTGCTCTGAGGCCTGACTCAAGGACCCACACAAATATCCTGAACAAAGGGAAAGTAGCCAGCCGAAAGGCCATCGGCAAGGCCTGTGCTTGTGCGTTGTGCAATCCAAACTCCCCAGCGGAACAGTCAAGGTCACGCATTGTCAGTGTGCCCTTCGTAAGTCACGGCACCGACCTGACTGAATGAGTTCTTGGGAGGATCAACGACGGTGCCTGGCAAAGGTTAAGCTCTCAGTCTGTATTAGTCGTTGTTGTTGCTGCTGCTGCTGCTGCTGTGGTTGTTATAATTCTTACCGCTGCTGCTGCTGCTCACAGGATGTTACAATTGCAATTTCTACGGAGACACCAAGATAGAATAGAAATGAAATCCCAAAGCCGAGCCCCAATATGCAGGATTTACAGAGGAGATGGATCCTAGTTTCAGAACTCCAGAATCCTCCGCCAGAACAAGGAAATAAAACAAGGTCAGAGAATAGACGGGAAGGATTTAGGAGAGATTTGTTTTAGACAGGCTATTACCTGACGTTTAGAGTCTCCAGCACCCCAGGTGAGAGATATGTGG